CAAAACAAAATAAAACAAAACAAAAATCACCTACTGTAGGCAATTTTTTTGATTGTAACATTATCTTTTTATTCGGTAATTTTTACTAGTGTTGGGAAGTGATGTACTCCTGATCTGGGTTTTTTGTAAAAAGAAGTGTTTTTCAGAATCCTGGAAGAGAACATTTGCTGCACTATAAACAGCACAAAAGCTACTTAATAAATGGGAGAATAGTGATGAATAATACTGTTTACCAGTTCTTGGATGGAATTAGCTTTAAACTGAGATTTCACAATGAAGCGGAAAGCTTCCTCTGCCAAATAATATATCAACAGACCGTCTATCTAAGGGGTAGAAGAACATAGTTTCATTGTGCTCTGGATGAATGTCATTTTTGTTATTTAAAAAGTAAGTTAAGGATGTTAAGTAAGTCTGGAGATATAATTTTATTTTTAGTCTTTTTTATTTTATGAGTTATTAGTCTGACGTATGCTTGTAGTTTTCCCTCTTACTAACACAGAATATTCGATATCCAGATCATGATTATAGTACGGTTTTGAACCACAGAGTAGACAACCATAGTAATTTTCCTCTTGGAATATGTGTGATAATTCATAGATGAGACAGCTACAAGTAAATGCATTGGAAGCATATATCTGTGTATTTGCAGTTAAAGTAACGTACTTTAAATTTGTATGCATATATATAAAATATGTGTACAATATGAGTAAACAGATAACGCACCTTTCAATACATTTGAATTGTAGGTGGGGTACTTTTTGTTTCTTTTTGCAACTAATTAGTTTTAAATCCTTTAAAGCAATATGTTTGTCTAACAGGCTAAACATGCTATTTGCTTGATGTTTGCAAGGGACGTCTTTTACTCTTTTCTCACTCCATGGAAAAATAAAATAAAACCCCAAGATGTCAGACAGGGATAGCTGAGGAGAAGAAAGAAAAACTCAGGCATCAGAGATAATAGTTTACATATTGAGACTAAATGGCCTAGGTAACTTATTCAGCCGACTTATAAGTCCATAGTGACTATCAGACATTTTTCTATTCTATTCTAGCTTTTTTTTAATCAACATGAGCCAACTCAAAGGTCGCTCTAGATTTTCAGTGGTTACTTGCAATTTGTAACATTGCTGTTAGATTCAGTATAACTCAGCCATACCATTTGGTTAATTGCTTTTTCTGTATTTGCTGCGGGCTGTTTTCCTCTTTATTGGAGTACAAAATTCCGAATTTTAAAATGGCCTCGGAAAACTAGTACTGGAAACAGGTTTTAAATTATCCTCCAATTATGTACAGGTTTTTTTAATGGAATTAAACCAAGAGTTACATGAACTACTGTTAAAAAAGTGTGTGTTTGCAAATGGGTCACAGTCCTTTCAGCTCTGGACTTTATGACGCCAGGAGAAGTCGGAAACCTACACAGTATTTGTGAATGCGAGATTTTGCATTTAGATAGGTTTGAGCTGAACAATCTGAAAAAACTCCTGTAAGCACAGAGCTCCCTACTGTCTGTGTGTTTGAGGAGGCTGAAGAGCTCTGTTTATTGCAACAAAGGGCCTGGAATAAATTATGTTTAGTAAATTGGCTCCAGGTTTTCCTCTTTCAGACAGTAGCTTCGGAGCAATCTGTTTTATAGGCTCCACTAAATCTGACCAATTGCAGGGAGGTGACACCTCATTTCAGGGATGTGACATCACGCATGTGCCATTTACCTCCAGCCGCCTCTCTCTGGCAAGATGGCAGGACACCAGCAGATCAACATTTTGTCTTTTGGCAGTTTTAACCTACAGCCCGTTACGAATTTATGAGCCCCACAGGGAGGTCCTAGCAGGATGGAGCCAGGCTCCTTGGCCCCTCTTCAGCATCGCGCCTCCCACGCCCGCGTGGGGCAAATAATAGTTCCTTTATTCCACTGGAAATACCCCTATTTCAGCGAGGTGTATGCATAGCTTCCTTCCCCAGTTGATCTCACAGGTGATAATTAACACAGTGCGGATATTTCCTAGCCGAAGCCAAGGTGGGAAAGTAGTTTTAGCCTCAGCATTTTTCTTTTCAAACTCTTTTTCCTCTTGTATTTTGGGTCTGTTCATGATGAGGAAGTTTTAGAGTGTGTTGGTGTTTAGCAGAAGTGTCGAAGAACTAAAGGAAACAATAATTTTTCCTCCTCTGACAAAACTTTTTACTTTTGAGGGGAGGAAAGAATGAGGGAGTTAGATTTGCTTTTAGGTTTTATATTTTATTTCTGTTCCTGAGTCTGATTACTTCTGAGCAGTGTGACTATGGCTCTCTTAAGCACAGGACACTTATTGACATTGCATATGTTACAGAGAGGAAGGATATTTCCTGAAGATTAATGGCCAGTTAGTTGGTCTGAAGTTCATTAACCTGAACTAGTCATTAGACTGCTGGAAGGATTCTGTGTAGAAGCTGGAATTGTATTAGGAGATCATCATAAACTAAAAATATATGTGACAATCTGGCCAGATTGCTATGAATCTAGGACAAGACAGGGTTGGCTTGAGCTCACAGAGCAGCTGCCTCCAGTGTAAACTAACCGCCTTGTGTCAGGAATTAAAGCAAATGTTTTTTCACAGACATTATTCAAGTAAAAGGGGGAAGGGGGGAAAAAAAAAGAAAAAAAAAAGAAGGAAGGTTTCCATTAGCAAAGGAATCCTACATGAAAAAATTAGGTGGTGAGGTATGGCCAAAAGGCCAAGTTTGGTGCTGGTCTTCAATCTGCAATTAAGCAAATGACAGTGTGTTCAGGCAACTGTTTTTTTCTATAAGCGACAAATTTAGTCTTGATTCTTCACTGTACTTTGCCTCGAGAAAATAAGCCCCAAATCCTCTGGTGAGATCCCTATTGGCTGAGACCCAGACCCTCAAGCCATGGCTTCTCAGCATATTTGCAGTGAGACTGGCTCCCTTTTAATTGCTTCTTTTTGAAGTATGGTTTGTCTCTATCATCCCGCTGAACATGAACAGGGCTGATGTCTCGTGTCTTAAAATAGTCCTCCCCCTCCTCCCTCACCTTCTTTTCCCCTTCTTCCCCCCCAAATAGATTTCTTTAAGGTGATATAACTTTGTGATAGTCTAGCCAACAGCAGTCCTTCGTAGTCCAACGACAAATAGATGTACCAGCATGGAAGAAGTAAGGGCCTTCTCTCAGGATCCTATACTCTAATAAAGGGAAGGGAAAGATGAATCAGAGGCATTTGATGTTTGTTTTGTTTTCTTGCCATGTCATCTCATGAATATGTGATGGCATTTGACCAAAAGTAATCCATTCAGACACTGAATGTGAGTGTTGAGGAAGGGATAGAGAAGAAAGCAGCTCAATGTTCTGCGATAGGAAGAATGCTTCAGGCATTTTACAAATTATTTCCCTTTCTCTCTTTCCCCATCACGCCCTTCCTGCACACTCCCTTGTCTTTTGCTATTGGCAGAAGGTCTGGGGGCTCAGAAAGCCCCAGCTTCATCTGAGAGAGGTTTCCTCTGGCAGAGAGAACTGAAGGGGTCCTCTTTCCATTCCCTTCATGCCAGGAAGGATGTGCTGGCTGCATCACGCTAAATTGATTCTGGAAACCTCCGCAGCTCACAGAGGTGCTCTGGCACCAGTGCTGCAGCGAGCTTAAATGTCAGACCTGTGGAGTGGCTCTGGGGCCACGAGCTGTGCTGCATCTCTCATGGGCTCACCAGGAGCCTTTCCCTTGATGTCCATGCAAGTGCTGGCTGATGTGGGTACTAGGATTACTCTTTTAATAAGGCGGTTTCATATACCTTTCAGAAAAGAATTTTCATGGCAAGTCATGAGCCATTAATCTTGCTACTAACCAAAACATTTCCTTACTCCTTGATTTACAGCATTACTCAAACACTGACATTTGTCATTTCACTAACTGTCTCCCTTGACCTCTGCTATCATGCACTTGCAGGGGAAAGGATCTGGTCTCACAGGTATTTTCATGCTCTGACCTCTGAGATTTATTAATCATCAGATTCTGCCTTCAGAACTCAGGATGCTATTTCAAATAATTTCATATGCAAAAGTGGAGTTATTGGGCAAAGGGGATCCCTTATAAGTGGGTACAAACAGGACACCAGGAGAACTGTTGCTGCTTTCTGTTTAGCTACTGGGGTGGGAGTGTGACCTTGAGGAAGTAGGTTTGCTGTAGTTTTATGATTCCATTTTTGCATAGGGAAAATAAGGACGGTGATAATTACTTTCATTTGTAAAACACTTTAAGATTTATGGAATATGAATGACTGTTATTAAGTGAAAAGTGTTGCAAAGCTGGCTTAGTTGCACACTGTGCTAACAAAGTCCCGTATCAGCCTATTGACCTCAGCATGAACCACTCATTAAAGTTTATAGGACATTTTGGTGGGTGAATTGAGGCAGTTATTCTGCTAGAAATATCGTACTGAAAACACATTTAAATCCATCAGCCTCATTGACTTTTTTCTCTATAAAAACTAAACACAACTGCTTGCTCTATCCAATTTTCTTAGTTTATTTATGAAAGTTTATGATGGGTATGTACTCATTGTAACTCAGCTTGTACGCCCTTGGTATCTGAGATATTATAGTTTATTCTAGTCATAGCATAAACATACAATAGCTGTTGTACTGAGATAAAGAGAGAGTTATAAAACATTAAGATATCCAATGGAGCGGTATGAACTAACGAGTTGCATGGTCATTTTTGAATGGCAAATGTTCTTTTTATGGATACTGCATTAGTTTAATTTGTGCTTAAACTTTAGCTATGCTAGACATTGGTGTTTGAAAAGTTAACATGTTTTTCCAATCTCAAAGTGTGTAAGTTTAGTATTAAAGAAACAGATTTACAACATTTTGATTTATACTAGAAGAAAAAATACTTTTGTAGCAAACGTGTTAAATGAGCTACTCTTTAAAGATAGGTCTGGCTTGCTTTCAGAATTATTATTTATATGATAATGCAAAAAATCTACGGATGTTTTCTTTTTGCTTTCAGATTAAATTTGGATTGTTTGAAAAGCGGAGAGATATTTCACCATAGTGCAAAAGAAGATACAGAAGAAGAGAGCAGAATGAGAGCTTCCCAAGTACCACATGCCTGCAGCCTGTTATCTTTAGCGATGCTGTTCCTTCCAGTCACTGGAACGTCAAAACAAAATATCCCAAGACTTAAGCTTTCCTATAAAGGTAAACTTTTCAGCAGTTTTTCTAATTCTGACACTTTTGTTTTGATGTGATGTTGCCAGCAGTTCATTTGTATTATTAATCAGGAAAACGAAACGCAGTTGACCCTACAATTCCCAGAGATGTGACAGAAGCCTTAAAGACGGATGAATTCTGCCTAGGGACAGTATTAAATTCTCTTTTTTGGGTGGAGGGGTACATGTTTCTGAAATATAACTGGGTTTTAAAATTATTATTTCAGTTTGCTCCTAGAGGATATTAACATACTATACCTAAGTTAGGGGGGAGTCATTGCCTAAACGTAGGCTTCTAGTGTTACTTGAAATGCCATGAGGCCCATTGGAGACATTCCCATGTGGCTGGTGGGGGTGACGTGGGACATGGAGGACACTCACACCTTTCTAGAGCATCAGAGAAAGTTGAGAGAGCTGCCCCAAGTGTTTCAAATGGCACTGACATTTTATTTTTGTAATAATTTTTTTCTTTATCACTAAGTTGGTATGTGAAACCCTTGAAATGTTGTTTTCTTTCCTCTTACCTCTTTGGATCACAAAAGCCTGTTTTTCTGAGGACTTCCTTAACTTTATGTGTATGTCTTGTTGAGAATGTTACATCTGTTTAAACACAGATGTATTTTTTAATTCCTTATTTGACAAGTTCTTAAACGAGGTAGATTTCTTATTGCTTTGATTGTACATTATGCTTCCACAGTTTTTACACGGCATAGAGATACATCACTTTCATATTGTCGTTGCTTTGATTGTACATTACGCTTCCACAGTTTTTACAAGGCATAGAGATACATCACTTTCATATTGTCATCTTTAACTAAAGCAAATGCTGTCCAGTTAGGTTTTTTTCAATTGTGTCAGCACCCTGCCCTTATGGGAGTTAATTCTGCTCTCAGTTTTTCAAACTTAGGTCTTCCTATGCACTACAGAATTACACTCAGGATAGTGTGATGGGACAGGAGGCTGTAAAGCCTTCATCAGAGGTTATGATATGTTTATCATGAGTTTAACACACAGAGGAATTTATTGGGTAAGCACAATGACATCCTCCTTATTTACAAGCTTCTCTTTTGCTAGATTTGTATGCCACTGTGTATGGTATTCCCCTGTGTACATACGTGTTTGAATGTGTTTCTGTGAGAGAGACCGAGGAAGAGAGATCAAGGGATCTTGACAACATTTTTTTAAATTCAGGAAACAGTTGCACTCACTTAAACCAATGAATACAGAAACTGAAAGACCTGACATGAGTTATGAAAGTTAGCAATAAAACCCCCCTAACATATAGTCAGACTTTTCACAGCTAGGTCTTTTGAGATAATTCCCAATAGCAGCATATACCATATGGTGATGGCATTTATTGTGGATTTGACACTCGTGATTAGTGAATTCCTCTCAACTTCAAAAGCAGATAGCCTTTGGCAAAATCCTGATGGATGCATTTGGCAGGTAAGGAGGGGGAGAGAGAAAAATTATGGAGGTCAAGACAGGAAAAAAAAATCACTGAAATCTTAGTTTAAAATAGTGGCAGAGACCTGCTGGGAGTGGTTGGGAAAAAGCCTGAGCTCGTTTAAAGAGACAATGAGCAGATGATTGATATTTAGGCCCCGACCCAAACTTTTATTAGCAACTTTATAAACCTTTCGCTTTGGCTTGAGGGATACAGTTTCCTATCCAAACTTATCCACCTATATCCCTGTAGGGGGAAAAAAAAGCAACAACAGATACAAAATGGCACATAAATCTTAATTTGGAGAGCTGTGATGGAACTGAAAAACCAAAGGAAAGAGAATTATCAGACTTTATTGTGCCTCTTCTTGCCTCTTTTTTTTTGGGAGGGAGCGAGTGGGGGGTATTTTTCTTTTTCCACAGGGAACAAGAAAAAAGTTACTGCTTTGTTTTCACACTTTTGCATTGTAAATGGTGCAGGTAGTGCTTGTTAATTGTGCTCATAATTAAATCATGTTTTTATTGTTGATAACAGTATGCCAGATGTCCTGAATATTTAACATAGTTGTCAGAATTGATCTTACCTTCCCCCCTGCCCCACCCCCCAGGTATTCCAGCCAAAATAACTCCAAGGTTTCTGAGAATAAGATGTAGGAGAAATGAACTGTCTTGCCAGTTCTCATAAAATTGTTACAGTCATGTCATTGACAAGTCCTGGCATTTCCATTCTTCAGAATTAAGACTTGAAATATAATGAGAAGGATAATATGGGGCTCTTTTCCTTCTTTATGAAAAACTGACCAAAATTGGCCACATCAGGCAGCTCTGAAAACTTGGTCACACATGTGTGTTCATTTGGCTGCTAAAGATGTTGTCTTTCAAGGGAAGGTTTCATCCCCTTCCAAGTGCAATGTGTTTATGGGATGGCATAGCTCCATCTTCCCAGAACGGCTGAGTATTTGCTCGGGCAGGAGGGCTGGAAGCGAGCAGGACTTTCCCCTGCAGTTACTTCATCTCACAGCTGCAGCCCGGCATACCTCAGCTGAGGGCTTGGAAACTGCTTCCCATGCCCTGACAGTAAGGAGAAGAAAGGGAACGCCAAGTGACGAATGCTGAGGATGAAGAAGTGTAGGGGACAAGAAGAGAGAAAGAAGAAGAGGGAATAGTATTAAAGGAACACGGAGGAGGAGGAAATTGAGAGAGAAGGAAAGAAATCGGTGGATAGAGCAAGGGGGAGAAGGAGCAGGGTGGGGTAGCTAAAAGAAATGTCTATGACCGCAAGAGTGCTTCAGTAAACCTTAGTGCGTCACAAGTCCTCTGCATTCGGAGGACAATTAAAATTTTAGAGCTTGTCTGCATGGCAGTTATAAGTTTTCATCTTCTGTGAGATAGCTTAAGGGGCAGAAATCTGTGCTGGAAATGTTAAGATACAGATAATCCAGTGAATGATGTGAGTATCAACATGATGTCGTATGATGGATTTCCTTTACTTTTTACCCCAGTTCTAAAAAAGCGTTCTAAAAAATCATACACACATAAAACTACAAAAGCACACATGTCAATTAAAATATCTTGTGACACAGAGGCAAAGTCATGTATACACCACCTGTGTTAATATAATACACTATGATCTTTAATTACATCCCTCATCCTATATTCCCACATTTTCCCCAATTCATTAATTGAATAATTCTTCAATATTTCTTTTTAGATACTTCACTTAGACTTTAGCTTTTAGATATTGGTGCATGTCATTCATATCCCAGAAATTGCCACTGCTTTCATGATGCTTCTAGGGTGGTCTCACCACAAAGACCTTAATTAATCTATATCTCTTAGATACTTTTATAAGATTATGGGGTGTTTTTATTATTACATTATAGTTTTAATATTAGGTGAAGGTAAACAAACAGTCTTCTAATAGAAGATTACCATCTTTAGAAAACTAGGGCCTGACTTTTGAGTAATATTCCATATTTTAATAGTCTTTGTATACCACTACCTTCAGTCTCAGAGCAACAGTGTGTATTTATCATTCGTTTTCATGTAGCTGGAGATACCCTGTGACCATCATCCAAACTGCAGAACTCCTCAAGCACAAAAGTGACATTCAGCTTCCCTAAGCAGCACATCTTCGTTGTCTGCTACCTCATTTAACATCCTCATTCCAACTTCTACAGCAAATGCAGAAGGTTTTTGTATACCAGTCTCATTCAATAATGTTGTTTATGAAACAGCATTGGTTCTGTCACTAAAGAACGGAAGGGCCTGTGTCATAATTCATACATACAAACGTGTTTAATTCATAGAGTGTAGACAGTCTTATTTCTGTCTATCTTTTGGGTAGTAGTCTTTGCCAATTTATTGAGAGGTATTTTTATACAGATTTTTTGTGTGTGTTTCTAGGTTTTATTTTATAGGGAGAGGGAGAGAATAACCAGACTAGAAGGTTGATTGCCTTCTAGGGAAAAAAAAAAAAAAATCAACCTTTTTCAATTTGTGGCCATCCTAAAATTTTCCAGTAGAAATATAGACTCCTAATTGCAAATTTAAGCCTATTGATTTGCTTTACTTTGTTGTTTTTCATGGACATCTTAGAAGTGGTTTATGCCCTCAAAGAATACATTTATATTACAAAAGTGTGCACCCTGCTTTCTTGGCTGGGGGGTATGCCCCAACCCAGATTTGGACACTGTCACCAGTGACATATCCACATTGACATCCATAGATATATGGATATATATCATGCCCATGCAGGAATGTGGCCGTGCCCCAAAAGCAAGCCACATTTACTGTGACCAGCGCTGACTTGGTTAGAGGACCAGGACCCTGCATTGTGACACTGCACAAAGGAAAAAGCAAGACTGAAGGCAACCTTTGGCTTTTAAAACAGGATTGACTTAACACTCTTAAAAGCAACTATGGCAGTAATTTAAATCTAATAAACAAGAACATTATTCTCAGCTGATTTTTTACTTCTTCACATTGAATGAATTAAGATGCAGTCTTACTCCCACTAAAGTCACGGCAAGAGTTTTGCCACTGAAGTAAATTGAAACAGGATCAAATTTCCACTCCTTCTCGTTTTTTTCATCTTAAATAAGTAAACTAAAGACATGCAATTCTGCCTCCTCTGTTGAAGGATGACAATGCTAAATCATCAGCTCCACATGGAAATTAGCCACGTTTATGGCTTCATGCAGTGTTTTGCATACACGATTTTCTTTCCCCTAAGAGGAGTGATCCATTCTTACAACATGGTGAAAAAGCAAACATTTTGGTGCCAGGAATTCTTTTGAAAACTTGACTGGATTAGTACATTTCCTTAATGTTCTAAAAATGATCCTTTGAACATACTACTTCACAATGTCAGGCATCCTGTTTTCTAAATTTTTTTTTTTTTTTTTCATTTTATAACTGATGAGATGCTTAACTGTTGCATCAGAGCAGTTAGTTTGTTCTGTTTCAGTAAAGCTGGCTTATTTTCATGTCATACATCATTTAATTATGCATAAAAAATATAGTTAGAATTGTATAGCTCCA